GTTATTAGTCATTAAAAAATGATCATGCACTTAAGGCAGTATAGTCGAGTACGCAGAACCCGCTGGCAAACTCTAAAAGGTGACCAAAGCGATCTTCAGAAGAAGCTTTTTGAAATTACATACCACATTTATAACAAGTAGCTAACAATTGGCTTTCACACCGATGACTTTGGTTTACTCTTCAGTCTGCTTCCACTCTCTACTGCAAACAAAAATTTTTGGAAGGTGTTCTCTCCACCGTTCCGTAGAACAAAATTAATGACCTGAAAGGTGCACAATATATAATTATCTAAAACGCACCAGATTCTTGGTTTTAGCAACAGACTTACACTGACTTTGCCTTCCTTCCATAGCACATACAGTCTTCCTGGCTTACCGACGCAGTCTCTGTTCTTAAACGAAGCTCTTTCCAACGTGGATTTTCAAAATACTTTTTCGCGAAACACTGGTATGGCTACCATAGAGCCAATTACTGCGTTATAAGTCCCTCATCTCCAAAAATGATCGTACTAAGCAAAATTCAATGCTGAGTCAGCAGTATCACGTCGTCGGAGGAATGACTTGGTAATGCAAAGACGACAGTTCTACCATTCCACCTTATTATCCGCTTAGGAGGTCTGAAAATCTCAAAATGCCTACGTTTGGAAAACTGTGGTATCTCCCTGAAAAAAGGTGAATTTTTCGATTTTTCTGGCTACGATTAGTTACCGACAGAGGGCTAATTTTCTGAAACTCTCTGTCAGCTAAACCTTGAAAGAAAATTGTTTAAGTAGAAAGCAAAAGGTGGATTACTGACCTTTTTCAGTTCCCACACATATCCCCAGATTAGGAAGCACTGCTATTGAGGGATTTCTGCTACTGTCGTCGAAGACAGCGCTGTCGTTTTTTTTTCCTAAGTCAGCTAAGGTTGTAATATTTTTACACTACTAGTGTGTACTTCTGGAGTAAAAGTCACGTTCATAAGTGCAATTCCATGGTTAGAGGATGAAAGTACTTTTTCTTTTTCTTTAAGTTGATAATTTGGGCACTTACTGGGAGATACTAGCCACTCACTGGTCATGGAGATATAACTTTTACTTTGACTAAAATTTATCCAAAAAGCAGCAGGGACGACTAGACACGCTAGAAACCCAGTAGGTTTTTTATACTTTTCTGTTCTAAACAGTTTTTGCTTTTTTACCTGAAAAAATGCATTTTTATACACTTCTACTTCTGTCAACCACCGCTTTTTTTCATTCAAGCCTTAAAACTCGTTAAGTGCAGATCATTTTCAGCAATTATTTTACGGTTTTCTTATCTCCTTTAAGAAAACTCTCAGATTTGGCGAAGGTTACGGCGGAAGCGCTACATATTTCTTGGGTTAAGTCATTTAATCATAAAGTAGCAGTGAAAGGGTGTTTTGAATCCCATTTTTTTTAAATGCAGTTGGGTAGAATATTTCTTCCGTCACGAGCATAGTTTCGAACGTTTTCTGCATCGGTCACTTTTTCAAAGAGCGAGTTCTTCCGGTACTGAGGGTGAAAAGAAAATTCTCTTTTTTACCATTACAATAGTGTCTTCACACAGGCCTAATCCATCAATCACAAGATTTTTGCACCAACCTTGCAAGTGATGATGTTCCTGCCTCCGTTTTTAAACAGTTCTGTCGCACCTTAAATTCTGATATTATTTCTGGTTGCACTTCTGCAGCTGATGTGTCATTGTCGTTGGAATTTTACATACTCCGAAGAAATTTGCAGCTACTGGTTAAAACAGCTGGGATTTGAACCTCGAGGAGAAAAGACAGTTCAAGTATTACTTTCTGGTTTGCATTACTGAAATGAAATTTACCATTCGCACTACAGCTTGTCGGCAAAAAGCTCCTTTTTCTAACTTTGGGAAGAAATTTTTGTAACAGACCGTTCTTGCCTAAGAAGCTGTTCCTCTGTCTATAAAGCTCCAGTTTGACCAAAATGAATGCATCCCGCGTTGCTGTAATTAACTGTCCACATTGTTAACCAAGTCATTCTTACCGCTGACCCACCTTCACTTGTGGTTCTCGAGGTAGCATGATGCTTTCAGACTTGTCTATCCACTACCTGCCACTTCTTGGCTGTCTGGCACCAAAATTTCCTTTATATTTTTATAGCCTTTTTCACTGCTCTCCATATCAGCAGTTTTTAACAACAAGGTTCTTTAACGCATTATATTTGTGACACAACTCATTTCAAATTCAATACATTTTCCCACCAAAAAGATGTTTTCATTGTATGAATGAATGTTCGCTGGAAAACTAGTGATCTAAACTTTGACATTATAGCCTTCAGACTCTCCAGAATTTGAAAATGTTTTAAAGTTTCAAAATAGCTCGTATTCTGAGAAAACGTGGCCTTAATTAGCGTACAAAGTCTGCTACGCAAGGATGTCTCATTTCATGTTCATTAGAAGCAGGTCATGATTTTTGCAGCTTCAAAAAGTTAGAAGACTCCACTGTCGACCAACAAAACTAAATTTCAGGAAGTAGCTAAATGCATAGTTAAAAGATTAAAATCCAAACGCAGTATACAATCTCGAAAACACGTCTCACCTACTTCAGAGTGTCTCAGTTGTAGCACTTTACAGAATGTCTGATGACGGCAGCAGGAAAAGATAATAGTAAAATGCCGCAAATCTTCACCAGTTATTGTCATTCGCTTCAAACAAAGTGAGATAATGAATTCCACAGGCCGAAGAAGACGGTAATGATAAATTATTTCTCTGCGGTTGATTGTCAACACGTGTTTCTCACTTTAATTCACAGTTCATTCAGTGTTCTCCTCCTACTTCTTTCAGAAATTACACCGTTATGAAATATGAAACATTGTTTCTTTCTGCTCCATGGCAAGCAAAGTTGCAAAACTTCTTGCTTTATCATCCAGTAAACGAGTCTCGCCTCTCAGCAGCCTTGAGATGTTACCATTTTCACTGCGTTTTAGCGTGGGGCCAAAATTGAGAAAAGACGCTAGATAAGGTGGACTTTAACTTATTTCATCTTTCCTTCTGCGCAGATGATTATAGAGGGTTTTTTCTGAAGCAGAGGAATGTATTGCCCATTTGCCCTTAAAGCCTGAAAAGAAGGGATCTGCTTAACAGTTGCTTCTAACCACCTCAGAACGCTGGCAGAAAGCTACACTGAGGGAAGCAGCACCAGTCTCATTTCATTTACTGAAATCCGATCTTTATTTTATACATCAGGATGAGCGGTCTTGGGAGTGTTAGATAGAATGCACAGAGAAGAATCTGGAGTGGATTCTGCTAGTCCCTCAAGTTGAACGTGAGTGCTTTCCTGGAGTTGATGCCTTTGAAGTTGCAGTAGAATTGGCATACAGTTACTGCCTTCCATCAAAAAAAAAAAAAAGTAGGGGAACTTGAGTGGTTTAGTCGGTACCACTTTTTGAAATACCATTCTCACCTCAGTTTTCTGCAGCTCTTTTAGGAGTGTTAATAACTGTTAATCTTTTGCAACAACACTGGAAAGGAAAACTTTAATATTTCTAACACATCAGGTGAAAAGATGATAGAAAGACGAGGCGACATCAAATGGTCTATCTTTACTCATTTCCTGTCTTCATAGCCACAAGATGTATATTTGATCCATTTTTCGAATTTCAGACGGTTTTGTGGGATGTTTAACTCACATAATTTGGAGAAGTTACTCAGCAGGGTGCCAGTGAAAGTACCAGTAAATGTTGGGTATGTTGATTGGAGGAACGAGACGGTTTTCTGTAGACTGTCAGACGATGAATCAGACTACAAGAGCCTATTGTCGCGAATGAATCATTTTTATTCTAACGGGGCACTCCGAAAGCGTGTTTTGCAGGTTAAGACTTGTTTGTTCTTTTTAACTGGCTTTTCTAATTTCAAAATAAAAATATTGCAAGGTACGACTCTAAGAAATGAAATTTTGTTTCAAGTACAGAACGATACTATGTTTTATGTGCCAATTCTCAAATAAGAAGAATGAGTAAGTAATATCTCAGGCGATAAAGGGGGATTTATACGCTGCACAAATTAAAACGAATTGGTACCGAGTTGAGCTGAAGTCGCTGAGTCGTGAGCAGAGGGAATGTTCAGTATGCTTGATTGATGCAGGAGGTATCATGGTACTCCCACTAATAAACTCACTGTTTGTCCTAGACGACAGGTTCATTAACGAACCATTTGACAGAAGTTTCAGTATCCAGTTAACAACGCCAGTGGACTGTAAGTCCTCTTCCCCACGATTAAAGTTATACGTTTTTACAGTACAGTTCACTTCAAAAGGTAGCTTTGTATACCCCTTCCTCAATTGTCTTAGAAATCCAAGGAATTGTAAGAGGGAAATGGGAAGAGGGAGAAGTTTGTCGGTAAGAGTTTTCCTGTTTGTGTAGATTCGGTGTTGAAATTGGTTTTTTATGGTGGTAGGTTCTAGGGAATTTCACATGGTTGGAATTTTGATTTAACACATTTCTGTTCTCATTAATGAAAGGTTTAGTAACCATTGATGCAAGATTATTCTGTTATAAGAGCACGTTTCATTTCAGTATGCGGGTCTTTAAAAGGAGCAGGATTTATTGGCTGCAGTGAAGTACGTGAAGGCAGCACGTTGGATGCATTTCTGTTGTCAGAGAAGGAACCTTTGGTTGCATTATTCAAAAAAGGTCTTCTTTACCTCCTTGTTTGACCGAACCAGTGATATTCAGAAAATCTTTTCAAACGAACACACTTCGTAAATTAATTATCGGCTGAGGACGCTGAAATTTTTTGCTTCGGTATTTCAGATGAAACGGTGACTTTGTTAACAAATTCCAGAAGGTAAATAGGACAGTGTCTTTTTAGAGAACAGCAATAGAAGAACTCCGAACTTGGAAGTCTCACCACGTCGGCCCGCATACATCACCAGAATTCAAAAGCAGCAGGATAACTTTAGTAATTCTCTTCCTCTTGGAGTTTTAAAGAGTGTGTTTTTACGTAATACAGAAAAGAAGTGTTCTTCTCCGCGAACAAATGATGTAGCTTGCCCTTTGTTGGATTTAAGTCCCATTAAGAACGTTTCATCCTGTAGTCGGCTGGTGCCAAGCAGTGGCAGTCAGCGTAATGTCGGTGACCCTGCTAATGATTATGTGAGGATCCAGATATTCTTTTCGTGATCTTTCTTAGCTCCAGCATTACATACAGCGTAGTGCTCATCTTTGATATTGAAGAAAGTTCTCCTTTAAGGGGTCTGCCGTTTCAGTAAGTCCGTTATCGTTTTCAAATACTGACACGTTATCGGATCTCGACTCCACTTTACCACAATTTAGCGTAAGCGATATAGCTTTTGTAAGTTCATCTTCCTTTATTACACCCTCATTAGTGTAAAAACAGTTTCCTTTCCAGAACCGTTTAGATGCTAACGTGCTAAATGCGAATGATGCGTGCCAGATATATATAGAAACAGAAGAAACTAAACGTGAAACGCAGAAACTAAAACAGTTGCTACAGTCCATCGACCCGGTGACTCTAAACATTGTTTCAATTATACAGTAGATCCCATTACTGAATTATTACTTTTAGTTCATAAAAACTCAGCAATTAATTTTTTAGTTTTTGAAGAATTATAGATTGAGACACTAGGTTAGGCAAGTATTCCTTTCGTGAGCGTCGAGTTGAATTGAACCCTGTATTTTTAAGAGTGGGATTAAATAATGCGAACAGCTAGTTAGATTAGCAGTTCCACTTAGATTAAATTTTTCACTCTTAATAGTCGTCCATTAATGTTTTGTTTGATAAATCTAGAATATAGAGAGAAAACTTTGTGGCAAGAGCGTTTTCAGCGTTGCTAAAAAGAACTTAGGTGTAGGAAGCGTTCGAGATTTCTTTTCAGCTGGAGATGGAAATTTTTTTGTAAAAGCACTGCAGCGCTTTCGGACTACAACTATTCGTCCTGAGACGACCTTCAGCAGAAAAATTCGTTTAGGAAGACCGTTTTGGCTAGACAAAATAGTGTTGTTCATTGTGGGGCTGCATTTAATGGGACATGTGGTAGAAAAGCAGTAGAAAAACGTAGAACTTTTACTTGTTTTTAGCTCTGAAGTAAAAAAGAAATTTTGCCATTTTTCATACGTTTTTTCCCCCCGGTGGAATCTTTTACCACTTCTAGTGTTCCCGTATGACAAAAGTTTTATATGGGGTCACTATAGGAGTGCATTAGCGGTAACACTCAAGATAATCATGTACGCAGTTTATTGGCACCTACAACACTTTGGCCCAAAAGCAGGCAGTCTGAACATTAGTAGGACGTTCACCTTCTGATTGCTAAAGAGAAGGCGACTTAGGACGTGCGTGAAAGCTAGAAAACTGGTGATCGGTCTCCAGACAAGACCAGCACTGTCGACATGAAATGGATACTGTTGAGCAATCTCAGCAAACAAAGCTGGTGAGTGTATAAAGGTAGTTGGGTAAAACCTGTGTTTGGAGGAACTTTTTGCAAGTTATGGGGCGCTAAAGCTGTTATTCAGATTGAAACTGCTCGTGCTATAGACTCTGAAGCGTACTGTCCACGAGTGAGCTGTTTCCATGCGTGTGGTGATTAGCTGTTTTCCCCAGATAGATCATGCACGAATATCTTTCTTGCAAGGAAACACTTCTACTCTCTGAATGTAGTTATGGTGACACTTAAGACTTAGATGAGCTGGACCTTGAGGATTTATGGTCTGTACATTGCTCAGGTCCGACGGTTGTTCTAGCCCATGGCCCAGCTGTCTCTGGTGGTGGTGACTTGCAGACGAGCAACCTTAGAAGAGCACGCAAGAAAGTTCTTACGTCAAAAATTGAGGGATGTTGTGGGATGCAGTTTTAGATGATGATGGATTACGATTAGCAAAGCAAAGCTGGTTTCTTCATTGTTATTTTTTGCTGATTGAATACCGGTCCTGAAATAAAGTTACAAACCCATTTAGTTTTTAGGTCTCTTTGGAATGGATTTCTCCATCTTGGTTGTTGCCTGGAGATGTCGTTTTGTACTGGCCATTTAGTAATTGCCCTCAAAGAGTTAGGGTTGTGGATAAAGAAAATGACGAGTTGACGGTTGTGTGCATCGATACCGGGGAAGAATCATTTCTTGAACCTAAGAAGTCTAAGTTTTTCCGCTTACCTCTTCAGGTCTGCCTTTCTTTTCTTGAAAATCCATGAATGTATGCGCTTTTTATGTAATAGACGCGTTTCAGAAATTAGAAATAATTGTTGTTTTTCCTACCTCGCGGTCACTTTTTCGAACGAAGTGTGTTTTTTACAGTTGTCTACAGTTCATTTTAAACCTACATGCATTGGGCCGCTTAGATTAGCTGGGGAATGGTCGCGAAACTGGGTGACGGTCCGGTCTTCGTTGAAGCTGCGAGAACTCTGCAAAAAAGTTACTGCCGTTTCTTTCGACGGTGATGATCTGGCGAGATGGGTTACCCTATTTGACGGAGAAGGTCGCAATATCAATAAAATGTTTATTGATTTGATCAAAGAATCTCCTAATTCGCGAAATAAAAAATGATTTTGAGGTGGTTCTAGGACCAAAATTGTCTTTCTTTCGGGGTCAAGAGAAACGAAAAAGAGCTTTTATTACTGCTTGCTTATTGTTTATTGAGATATGTCTTTCACTGGACTTTGTTGCTGCAAAGATTCCGTTTGGGTTGACTGAAAATGTCTTGCCTGGCTCTTTCGACAATGCTAGTGAAATATATCATTCTTTTCTTTTGATTAGTTCAAAAATGCATACCCGAGTGACTCCCATCTTCTCCTTCACTTGGTCCATAAAATGTCGCTTTCCACTCCAGATACTATCCACTGTAAAATTTGAACATTGAAAGCACAGCGGAGAACAGCATACACCAGCCATCTTTCGAGTGTACGAAAAGCAATTATCAATTTGACAAGTACTATTTCCAAGCTACTCCACCTGTCCGTATGGACGAAGAAGGTAGAAATCAAGAAGGCAGATGAGTGTCTCAGCATGGGGGATTCAAAAAGCAAGCTTTCGGAAGAAAAAACACTGCACTGAGGAGAAAAGTACGGCATGATAGAACAAAGAATTGAGGATGGCGGGAGCAAAGTTTCAGAAGAAATTCAGGACGTGGGAGGAGTGGTGCAAGTACTGAAGAAAAACTGAGAGTTCACTAAGGAGGGAGGAGAAGCAGGAGAGTGGTAGAGGGTGGAGGTGACAAAGGGATTTTTTTTTTTTTCTATACACATACTTTTTTGGCTGTAGGAACTTTCACTGCGGTTTTTTTAATTAGCAGCATTTAAAAGGGGCCGTATTTCTGCACTTAAACTTTTACGCCTGTTATACCTCAGCTTTTCACCTCTATAAAATTTGGTGATTGCGTCTGGATTAATCCCAACTAAGAATCTTTTTCCTGCTTCAATGTAATTCTGCTCACTGATATCAAAATCCATCTTTTTCTGTTAAAAAAAGTGGGAAGCAGAATTCTGGGAACAAAACGTTTTAAATTTCTCAAGAATACCCCTAAGACTACTGCTGGTTGCTCTGCTTCAAAGTGTTTTCGATGGAACCACTCTAAGCAAGTTCAAGTGATGTTATTGCGCGAAAGAGTGCTTCTGTTAGGTGATGTAACTGGGATCAAATACTTTCATTCCTTATTTCCTTCAGGTATTTCTACTGCTGAACTTACAGTTGAGTATACTTTACCAGCAGAGAGCACTGAGAATCGACGACGGATGGTGTCGGTGCACCAAAGACAACATTGAATTGGAGCAGTATGGCACTTCCCAACCAGCAAAAAATGTCCTTTGGGCGAAATATAGAGTGGGAGCCCAATTTTTTCAGAGTTTTCGCTTTGATTTGGAAGTTCGTAGAGGTCTGGCTCGAATTGCTGCTGTTGTATACCAATGCAACAAATGTTTAAAATGATATCTGATACAAACTTCTGATACCAAAAGGGATGAGGAAAGCCTTGCTATAATCAGATGCAGGAATTAACATGGCAAGTGTCAAAGAATTTTTAAACTTTAATCTCAATCTGGAATTTCAAATTCAAGCAGTACAGTTTTTTACTTGTTCTCGACTAAAGATGGAATATAATAGACTCTTTCCTCCAAGGACGAATGTCTTGCTGCAGTATACTCTAATTGAGTTCACTCCGCTCTTGACGTTGGCCAAACAGTTTCTGAAGTTTCTACTCCCTGCTTTCTGTCATGGAAATTATCCTCCTAAACTTTTAGTTCTTTAACAACCTTTGTTTACGGGGTTTGAATAATTATTATGCGATTTACTAGTTGTAAGGCTAGAAATTATTTGTTGTGACTGTAAGGGCGATCAAATTCGTTTAATAGTTTTCCTCAAGTTCTTCTGACAATTATATCCGAAAGAAAAGCTTAAGATCAATATGAAAAATTCTAAGTTTACAGTTTTTCGAAGGCCGAGAGAATTTTCTTGAAGGAGATTAGAGACCAATACGTGACATCCCACATTATATAATCTCTGAAAGCGAGCAAGGTATTTTAAAAATGAACTCCATAAACGCTACTACACAAACAAGTTAGAACCAATGGATTTCCACTACTACAAATCCATAATCAGGGACTTATAGCGAACTAAAAGTGCGATTTGTTGAGGAAAAAGTCTACCATACACAAAATATCGTGGAGCAGAGAGAATTCTCATTACAGCAGTCCTTTTGCGAATTTCATCGGAAAATATCGCCTAACTAAACTTCTTACAACCCAATGTAGATGCCAATGTTCAAATTCTCCTCACAAAACCTATTTTCATCAAATTTAGAAGACTGTATATTTATGTACAGAACAACAATTTGCACTTGAATGTTGACAAAAATAGTCAAAGGTTCATACACAAGTTTCTAAGTAGGTTCAGAGAGTCACTCGGCTAGATGATTTGGTCAACTTAACTTGGCAAAGAATACTCCAAAACTAAACACTACATCCTAATAGGCCATTCACGCAATAATCTGGGTACTGGTCGGTCAGTTTTCTGTAAACTCCAACTTTGCAAACGCAAAATTCAAAAGACGCAAATTTTTAAAAGTTATCAAACTCTAGCAGCTTATCTTAATTCGTGTGAAAGGAAACACATTTTTTAAGGTTGCTCGCGAAATTAATTCAACAGTGCAGCTGGAGTAAACTAGAAATTCATTTTATCTTTAAAATAGTGAGAAGAAGTAGCAGTAAAAGTCTTTTAACTACTGGTCGTATCATTACGACCTCAATTGTGCGTGAAACTCATGACACGTCCCCTTACTCCTGACCTACGACTCCAAAAAAATAAATTAATAAGCTAATCCTTCCCCTTATCAAAGCATCAAATGCGCAGAATCAACGCCGCTGGCTTAGCAGCGGGCACCGATTACTGCATTAAAGGCGTCCAATTAGTGGTGATAAAACAGGTTTTGCTTTCTACCTTCCAACATATATTGAAATGAGCATCGGCATGGAAAGAGACGAAGTATTAACTAACACTTGAGTAAACAACCAATGCTCAGTTCTCCAAGCTCTGTTTGAATTCAACAAAGTGGGCAGACAGAATGCTGGATTCCCGTTCTAAATCTCTGGCCTCCTCTCTTAATAACGCTCAGCAAAGAATCTGTTTTCTCATTCAAAACAGTTGTAATTTCCTCCTAAGTCTATCATAAAAAGGTGCATTTTCAGCGTAACAGTATCAACGGATAAAAAAAACACAGGAAAACCGAAAAGTAAGTCAAAGGTGGACAAATAAAAAAGAATGCATTAATCGTATGAGATCTTATTAGAAAAAAAATTAGGCATGATTTACAGCATAGTTCGTTTCGCTTCACAAGCAGATCGGAGAGTTGAGTAATAAACTTATGCCGGTGCTGATTTGGATATCTTTCACAAGCCTATATCTTTATAAAGCTTGGTTAACGTGATTAAACGAATTAGTTCCTTCGAAAACCGTATGGAAAAGCTTGATGCCTCCAGTCTAGTGGATAGCTCTTTCAGCCTTGCTTCGTCGGTTGTTTCCGAATCTTTATTTATCTGACTAAGCAGCTTCAAATTTCTGTTTGTCGTTACAAATAACTGAAACACTTAAACTCTCCTTTCCAATACACTCACATGGATAAAAACTGACTAAGGTAAAAGGTGTACTGAGCAAAAAAAAAGCAATTAATTTTCAAGAGTTTTGACGTAAACATGACAGTGATTCCAATTCATTGGTGCTTCCCAATACCCAAAACGACCAATTTTTTAGAGCTTCTTTGCCTTCCATTCTTTTCCTCTTGACCTCGATTTCGCAAGCAAGCTACCTTTCTAAGCAACTAATTAACTGAAATTATTAAAACTTCTTAATTATTCCCACCATATCATCCTCGATAGTTAGCGCGGCCTAATGTATCAGCAACCCGATCTACCAATGAAACGCAGCCAACCAAAAAACTCACTAAACATTAGTCTCGAGTGGCCTCTCTATGCCATCATAAAAACCAAAAATTATAACTTTTTAAGCTTTTAGACAAGACCCCACTGAAACTCGCCGTAAACTCTTCTAAAAGCGACACAGAAAATTCTGCTGGAGAGATACGCCGTCGCTAGATGCAAATGAGGAATAAAATTGGCTCGCAGATTTACAGAAAACCACTTCTAATACCTTGTTTATTTCGACGTCTAATTCCCGAACTGATAATACCAAATCTTTCGAAACAAAATTAGAATTCATTCTGTCTCCCTCAAATGATGCATCCTGAAAGATGAAATAATAAAAAAACATTCTCTCGTAAAATACTTGCCAAGAAGGCCAAAAACACAGGACATCAGAAAAAATGTGATCTGCTGGCTTAAAACACGTTAAATTTTTGTAATACATCTTGAAATCTTCGCTTGATCTGCAAGTTCAATTTATTTTCGTAGTGCCCAATAACTGTACATAGCAGACGAGTTACGGATACAGCCGCTGCTCTCGCCTTGCACTGGACTTCTCTAATATTTTGGAGGATCTTACCCAGAGGAAGTGAGTCCTACAAAGTATTGATATCTCTTCTGTACAGCGTATGAAAAAGTTATAGTTTTGTGTTAACTGAGACTCACTCCGTTCGCTGGTTTATCTGCTTCTATGATACTGTTACTGACAATATTTTCTTTTCCCTCCGCACAAGAAGGGGTATTTTGGGCAGTTCGCAAGCGCTCCTTACGTGCAAGTAGTCTAAATTAGGAAACTAAACTAACGAGGAAGTTCAGATCCCTTTCAATTTAAGTAACAGAGAGTAGTTTTAAGATAAAAGTCTTCTGATGAACTTTCTTCTCTTTTAATAAGTGTTGTTTTCTTTGGTTGAAAAGAACAGTGATATTTCGATTTCAAACCATCATCAACTACACAACAAGAGAAAATGAGTGGTACTGGCGTAGAAATTAAAACAGAATATTGCTCAAGTTGAAAAATAACCAGATTTGTCATGAAAAGGATGGCAGTTTGGCATAATCAGTTAATTAAGCTAGCATCAAAATCTAGAAAGTCTTTCACACATTTTTCGAAGACACTGACGCCCTTCGCAACATGTCTTTTGTTCAACCTGTTTGTCGGATTCCTCAAAATTACTGATTTCCTCCTCCGAACTACTTAATTTCTCCTTCAAACTAAAAAAACTAAAGATAAATTATGAATAAAAAATTAAAAGCTATCGTCTACATAGTACATTGATTTGTAACTTACAACTAATATAATAATAACAAATAACTGTAATAAGACCTTTTAAATGATTCAAAACGACCGTGGGGCTCAAGATGAAGCCTGCGAAAGATGACATTTGGTAAACAGTTTTGAAGGAAATCTCTTTCAGCATCTCCTCCCAGAAGCTGAACTGTCAGCCCAATCAAAAGAATTACTCTGTGACGACACAATATATTACCGTGTAACAAGAACTGCAAAAAGTGCCACTAATCAGAAGTTCAGAACGACACTTTTCGAACTATACAATAACCCCAGGAGTCAAGAAAGTGCGACATAGTATAATAGTGCCGTATTTCACCAACGTTTCAAAAAGTGTCCGAATAATTAAATGGAGCTTTTAAATCGTTTCCAAATAAAAAATATGTATTCTATGATCCTAAGAAGCTACAGTACTGGCTATATGTAGTCCATCTTTCGTTCCATTGGAATTTCTGTGATACGCACCCCTCACGGTTTTAAAAATTAGTTTTCTTTTTCATCTTATTCCACTTCTATGAAATTGTTTAAAAATTCCGAAAACTGCTACACACTATTTTTCTCAAAAAATTTATCTATAGGAGTGATCAAAGTTCAGTAACAAAAATCAAAACAAAAGTGTTGCACCAAGTCATACAAAAAATTTCAAGAATTCCATCATTCATTTTTTCACATTAATGGCATCTACTCCACCTTATAACAGCCACTTCTACTTAAAGTCCAGTTTTTAAACAACTCGCGTATTCTCTTTACATGGCTTTTTGAACCGGTAGTTTTCAGTTACAAATGTCTGAGTGATTTGTCACATTGTATCTGTTTGCTTTAAAAGCCTTCAGATTTTCTAAATCCACGCGAATCCGTCTCGGAAATATAGAGAAGAAGAGTTTCCAAAATAAGTAAGCACAAGTTTTGAAATAATTTTTCAGAAATCACTAGTGTCGGGTTGCTTCAAAAATCCAGATGACTTCCTGTTTGCGAATTTCGAGACCAAGAGGGCACAAAGCCTAATTTGATGTTACAATAAAAACTGCGATCCCAGAGAACAAAGGAATCAAAAATCCACGCTACCGCTAACGCATTGAACAAAGAAGCACTTTTTAAAAACTCTAAGGCTTGTTTTAAAAGCTCATTACCAGACCGTAATATAAAATTTCCAACGAAAAACTCAGAGTTTCTCAAGCAAACTTTGCCTTAAAGGAACTAATGTTATGAAGTTCTTACAAGCAGCTACGAATTACTTGAACTCCAAATCCTTTTCAGTCGCTACTAGGAACGAATAAAACGAGATTTTTGACGCCTAACCTTCGTTCCCGGCTTGCAGTTTGGGAAAACCGAATCGTTTCGAAAATCACAAACATAGAAACATTTCCTCCCATCTGTTACTTCTACAAGATAAACAGAAGTTCGGTCATGAGACTGAAATGAACTGAACCTAACAAGAAACTCAAAATAATAGCCTGTGTAAGCAGAATGCAGTACTCAAATCAAAAAAAAAAAGCGCACAGTTTTAAAAGCAACGATTTTTATGACTTCAGCCCACTATAAATTAATTTATTTTTCAGAAATGTCCGCAAAATTATTTGGTTCCCAAAACTTTATCCCAATTTAGGATATACTTAGTAGAGAAGCTACAGTATGAAAGAGACTCGCACAGATCGCGAGGTGCTCACTTAAGTGAGAAATTCATTAATGCCAAAATATTCCCAGTCCGAAGTAAAAAAGAGCAGTCTTTCTACATTTGACCAACAACCTCCGTTAGAAAACTGAAATGTTCTTACGCCGATTTGTAAGTAGAAATAAACCTCTTGGCTTTCTTCCGTGTTTACGTAATCATCGCTTAAATTGAGAAGTTTCGTAAGTTGGACATAAGCTGATTTTTGAATATCGATTACTGAATTTACCTAAATATTTGCCCTCAGGATTACTAATGCTCGATAAAGGCATTAAAAAAATCCTGTCCGTGTTCTAACTTGCAACACAATGGGTCCAGGAAGTGGTATCTTCTTTTCCAAATTCAAGTCTGAAAGCGTCGATTCCGTACTCTCGGAGAGCTGTGAATACAGCCACTGTTCAAAAACGAAAGCTACAGATCTGAAACCCTGCAAGATCTAGCCATGTACTAAAAACTGTTTAACACAACATTACCATGCTAACTGTTGTTCAGAACCATCAGCAAAGTGACTATTGGGCCTATTACGGCACACATAAGGACCATTCCAAGCCAAGATGCATATTTTTTTCAATTGATTTCACTTTCTTCACACTTGCATGGGCTAAAAAGCTTCCATCTCCTGACTTGCAAAACCGCTTCATCTACTTCAACAGTCCCTTCAGAAAAAAAAGTAGTATCTCTTCAGAGGTGGCAAAAAATCACGTTCTTTCACCTTGCTTGTTTACGTAACCAGCCTCACTCATATGTCCCCAATTTTAAAATTGAGGAATTACATAATGGGCTAAGGTGTTGAAAATTTGGCGTGGTACTTTTTAAGGAAAAGAGGAATATTGGATATAAAAACTTATGAATAAACAGGACGGCATACGACATTAAGTACACAACATTAATTATACTGGCAAGAAGACAACAGGAAAAACAACGTATCGTAACGAACAGAAACTGCACTCACCAGAAAACTGATTTTAAAAGTTTTTTTGTTACTGAATACATCTCATCAAAACCTAGTAAAATTTCGTCTTTGATTTTGCGCATGGGATACCTCTTCAATGCCTTGTTTGAGAAGGTTTCTTTCTGCGCTTTGAAAGTACCAAGTTTCGCTCACTGATCTCACAAATCTTATCGTGATTGCATTTTTAAATGTCAGAAATTTTTGATCTGACTACTTAGTCGAAAGCATGGTTCTGATATGTACCAGTTCTAGCGGCATAAGAGTGCTCCGGTCCATACTAAAATGCAAACTCTAAACTCCTTACCCTGCACTGCAGATTTTATTCAAAGCGTGTATTTACAACTGCCGTAAGAGCACGCGAAATGGCTACAAGGGCTGAAGACGGTGACAAACCAGATACGGCCTTGAGAGAACGCTTTTAGAGGCTACGGTGGAAAGACCATTACTACAGCGTCATATATGAAAGGACAAGGTGGCAGCAAGGTTGTCTTTCATTGTCTTAAAAGACAACAGTCGAGAACACTGACCTTTCATCCTTTCTTCTTGGTTGTACTCTTTGCCCAATTTTTGAGTTTAACTTTGTTCTAATTTTCATTTTTTCCTTTTCTGTTTAAACGTTCGCTAATTCATATCCTCTTTGGGTTAAATTCTATTTGTTTAAAGTTATTTTATTGCAGTTATCGTGATAATTCTTTGTAGTAGGGCAACACTAAAAGTTAGTCTGACCAGTGTTGCTTCTCCATTTGTACGTCGAATGTTCGATACATTGTTAGGGTTCAGGTCAGTAAGCGCGTGCTCAGTGATCCTTTCTCATACTCCGTACCGTCAAACCGTCACTATTTGTTCGCTTGTAATAATTGAAAGTACTACAAATAAAGAACTATCCAAAAAATTGAGCGTTTAACAACGTTATCAATTCACGTCAACTTAAAGGCTTACAGTCCTCGAGATAGTACTGCAAGCGTTGGGAACTACGATTGCTTGCAGTTTATAACTGTGGAAACAAGGATCCCCGTAAGAACGCTGTAGAGGAGTTGTGATCAATTTCGCAATTAAAGAGGCAGTTGGTAGTTGCGATAACAACTTTCTTCTGAATCTCAGCCTTAGCATTATTTTAATGGGTAACATTGGGTTTGTAACGTTTCTTAGAGTTAATTGAGCATTATAATGAAACTGTTCAATGATCCAATGTTTTACTGTAGTGGAAGATTGACAAAATATGCGGAAAACTGGATGATTTCTCTGTTATATTCCTCTAGCCACTTTAAAGTGGGTGTTGATGGGTGCTTGTCCGTCCCCTAGCTGGCCCACTGTGACGAGCAAAAGTTACAGTCTACCAAAACACCTTGAGCGTTAGCCGCACGACTCTAACGTAGGAGCTTTCACACAAATGTCACGAACAATTTGAATATCTTTGGCGAAGCTAGGCCGATCGTACCACGGTTCTGCATGTGTGACTTTCGCTTTATTTTACATTACAGTGAGAAAGCGGAAGAATAGTTTAGTGGCGGGAATTATCTCTACACTCTTCCGCTTAAATCTCTGCCAAAATTTAGACGATAAAATCCTTCTAGATGCTGGAGAATTACTATGTTCAAACGCAGTACATCTTGATATGTAGCATTTATTTACCTATTCGTATCTTTTTTTCAAGAATCTCTAATAAACTTTTCTGAGCCAAGAAGTGTTCTCAAAAAAGCACCCTTGCAGCCGAAGGAGGGATGGGCCAAAAAAACAAAAGATTTCGCGAGCATTTGTTTTAACTCCGGTAAAAAAAAGAGTGGTTACTCAAAACACTTGAAAAAATGGGTCTGCTGGTAAAACTCCCAGTTTATTTAACATGAAGGAACAGGGCTCATTTAACGTAGAACGTGGGCTTCATAACTCCGTTAATAAATTTAAAACTGCCAAGTTTGTCATATAGGCTGGCAAAAGCAAACCTCATTTGTTTTAGTTTTTCATGCTTGTTGACTGTATTTACTAAAAAAAAGAAAAGCAGATTTTTAAAAGTTACAAGTCGAGTAGCGTTTTCCAACGCTGAACATCTTATAAAAATTTTAAGAACCAAAGCTACTAGTAAATTCGTCTTGATAATTCCAACAACAGTACTCACTGTTGGAGGGGAAAAGTTGGTTGTAGAATAACTAAGCAAGATATCATTTGATTTTTACAGGTTATTCGCATACCTGAAAATCTTCTGACGATTGTTGATATTCGAGGGCACAAGTTAACCATCGCTCTTTCAAAATAATGTGCCGGGCTTGAAAGAACCTTTTTAATTCTTGCGAATCCATCTGAGTGTCAAGCAGTCACTGGGTGCTCTAAACAACCACCTATCAGCCTAAAACAGAGTTGCAGCAGATTGCAAAAACATAGTCCTGTACCCTCAAGCTTTCAAGTGCCACAGGGTACTGTCCGTTTTTTTTACCACTTCATATCACGCCAACAGTATGATAGCCAATCGCCTAGGTACCACTACGGGACGCTATGTTTGATATTGTAATCCCTGTGTGGTACTTTTTTTAGTGTTCTTAATTATATTAAGATTTCAGTCTTCTACTGATTTTTTCCATGTTCGTCGTCTCAAAGGGCCGTATCACACGAAAAGACGGTTCTGTAGACAAGTAAAATACAAATATGTATTGTCTTCCATCATCACCGGTGTAGTAAAGAAGTGTACTCCTGAGGAACTTGTAGAACTTCCACGTGGATACTCAATCTACTGGCCATATACATGCAGTTCCCTTTAACCGCGTTTAACAATATCCCCAAAAAAAATTGTTCTGTAATTTGACTATACCAGTTCTTCAAAACTGTTCTGCTTTCAAAGCGTCAACCTGTTTCCACCAACTCAAGTCTTTTCATCTGATGCAATCACTGCAAGATACTTTATGAAAAATTTTTTTTTATCGCATATGGTTTTAAGCCAACAACCCAATATTTTTCAATTTCTATCCCTTCCGACTTCCGCGGATTAGGAAATACAATTTTTAGAAATCAGTTCGGGATAATAACAACCAGTAACATCAGTCACTTGTGGGTCTTAAGTAAATTGAAAAACAAAAGTAATCCGAGTAAACTTATATAAAAAGAATTTTCTTAATAAATTACATTACAACCGCCACAGAATTTCAACTTATACCACAACAAAACAAACAATTTGCATTATAACAACGAGCTAAAACTTGAGTCTTTGTCAAGAGTTACACAGTAAATCGGTAAAAATAAATTCACAGCAATGACATAAAAAGAAGCAACTAACGAAGCGCACAATGAACAATCAAAAATACGGTTTCTTGCAGTTAATGCAGCGTTTCTCCCTTTCAAATCCAACTGGCCTCTGTGAATCAGAACTCCAAGAAAAGTCCTGCGAATTATATATCCTTCGGGACTGTAATGACATTCCTTCTACCAAAGTTGCTTCACGGACGTAGTCTCTACAATTAAGCTATGATAAGCTGAACTACTCAAATAAAGGGCGGTTTTTAAACAACAAATCTCAACCCTTTCAAACTTGGTATTTTAAAAGTTAGCGATGGTTTTAAAGAAGTCTTCTGATACTTACTCGAAAGGTCGAAATGAAACTGGTTGACCGTACAGAACAACTTTCTCCAACCGTGCCAGTGCAAGAGTTACGGAGAAAACGTATTTATAAATAACAATTGCATTTGTAGGACGTCGTTCAGCCGAATCTTTCAAAACAACTTTCTCCACTGGTCCGACCTGAAAGGCTACAGGTAAAAAATTTATTTTATTGCTGAAAAATAGCAAGAGTTAAATAAGAGGATAACAACTCCTAACTGGTGCGTTTCAAGGTATTGTTCCTTAAACTACCCCCCTTGAGTCAATTTTTTGATGGAAAACACTTCATAATCATTACAGCAATGACACAGCCTGCAACAACCAACGAAAGTTTCTCTAAAACAAGTCAACATTAAGCACACAAAGACATTTATTGCTCATTTCAAAATACTGGAAAGTGCTGCTCCACATTCTAAAAAATCAGAAAGCCCAAAATCTGGTTTTAAAAAAGTGTTTAGACGCAAGAGCTCAACTGTACTATGAATAATTTGCACACATCCTTATTTTTACTCAAGGAAACTCTAAAATGTTTCCTGCCAATGACAGCATAAATAATGAATCTCTCAACCTAAAATGATTGTTGAAATCAACCTTACAGCGCTCCAATCCGTCCCCTTCAATATGCAGCGTTCATCAAACATTTTTCAAAGAATACAAACCTACTTTTCTACTTTTAGCAAAACTCACAGTCATCATGGATACACTCCCGTTATACAATAATCGTTTTTTCAAACTAATTTATTCACCCTAAACATCAGCAAAAAATCTGATCAGTTTATCGGCTGTTATCCAACCAACTTGAAAACATCCTGAATCACTTCTCACCAAAAAACTTTTCAAAATCCAGAACAATTCATCTTTATTGTAAGAAATCAACTTTCCAAAACCATTCTGAATGCCCCGACTAAGAAAAGAAAAACGCCCCAACTTTCTCAAAAAAACTACCAAGACCCATAATAATCAAACAAACGGATAGAACGGTGAATACATCACTTATGAAGTCACTACTTTACACGATTATTTAGGTAAATCCAACACCTTGCCACGGTATGTTTTTGAGCTACTAAGCCTCATCACCGATTTTAGCAACTTTTGAGCTCTATTATGAAAAACTGGTGATAAAATGGTGATAAAGCAACAATTCAATTGATTTTCATAAGAAAAAACATCATAAAAATTGCCGTATCCATAAGCTTCCCTCGAAACCCTTCTTAATTCATAAAGTCATAAACGCTGTTTTTAGCACTAAGTTAGACTTGTATTAATCAAATTATTGACAAAGGAGTCAAAATAACCGTCAAACATCACAGCAAAGATTCTGTTCCTCAATTGGGAAAAGAGATACCAAATGCAATCAAAAACATTCAAGTTTTAAAAATTATTAAACACATGTTCGCTAAACTACTCATCTTTGCCAAAAACTACTATCAACTCTGTAACAACAAGTAGATCTATGCCTCAAGAAGTTGCAGAATTGAAAGGACAGTTGTAAATAACAGAAATTCTGACTTTACCCGAAAACATTAAAATATAAAAAAAAATCTGCGTAAACAACGACAGAGAGCAACCAATCAGAGTTCAAAGAATATTTAGAACTTGACATATCTTATGTTAAGGAAATACGCCATGTCATCTGCATCGTTGATAGAAGTTAAAAACTAAGTAGAGAGCTTCTATAACTTTAGATATTCAGACTTCTGATGCGTCCAGAATTTGAAATCCAAAACTTTCTTTCTCAACGTGTCATCCTTTGAAAATGAAAAAACACAGACATGAAATTTGATGCAAAACTCACTATACTCCACTTATTCTTAATTTTTCCCTATATTTTGATCACTTTAAGCACCTATCCGAATTTATATTTCTTGGTCAGTCAACTCTCATTAGAGATGTTCTCACTTACAGAAAACTTGCATAGTGCCTTGCTGAGTTTTAAGTCGTTGATTTCCAAGTTTTCGGGAAGCTTGCTAATATTTTTTGCCGGTCTGTCATTATCAATATTGAAACACAGCGAAAGAAAAATAAAAACTCTCGAGTAGTACCGTCTAAAAAGAATTTAAATTTTTTAATTCAGCAGAAGAACCTTATCTACTTGCGACCAAAAATTCTTCTGCAGCATCGATATACGAGCTTTTCTTGTTTATAAATATCTGCTACGTTTTTCTTGCCTTCAGCAAAGGTCTTTTAAAATAACCACGCTCTTTCGCTGTAACAGTGCCCTCCCACAGTTGCCACAAATCTTACTTGACTTCATGAAAGAACATTGTTGCTCCAGCTTACTCTAGTAACAGATAGTTAAGACACTTGCAGAAAAACTCACCATACATTTCCACCTAACACAGAAGTCAATGAAAATAAAATTGAAATCACCAAAAATATCAAAAAATATCTCCTGAATTACCAAGTTACACTTTACGAGCAGAAATTATTACTTTTCAAAAAGATAGTAACAGAGAATACAATTAGAGGAGAAAAAAAGCACTTTTTCTGTGTCATTATCTCCGTATTTCTCCCTCGCAAACAGCTTAATTCTTTTTTTTTTTTTGCTTTGAATACGGATCTTACTAATCACTAATTTTTTTTTACCAATTTTTACTAATCACTAATTTTTCTGCTTTAGAGAGCCCCTGCTATCCCCACCGGGATATAAACTAAAAGAGGTCTTGTAAAAGAATGGGAGAGAACAGGAAGAGTGTTTTTGAATCCTTCATTCCTTGAAGAAACTACTTCTTTACGACTAGTTTCTAAACGACTAAATATATATATTTCAAATAAACTAAACTAAACTAAATATACTTCAAATATTCCGACAAGTAGTGAAATTTGTTTCTCGATCACAGCACTGCTCTTAATAAGTATAACTTTATCGTTTTGCGACTTTTGGCCAGAAATCTCCAGTCAGCTACTGGGTTGGAGATGTTATTGTTAAAAAAATGTAATCAAGGCAAGATGAACCCGAGTAAAACTAAAAAAACTATTCGGAATGTGCTGAACCAAACATGGGGAAATACAGCGACCAAAACCTCTTGAAAAAATTAAAAGTAAAGCAATTATTTTTTGAATAAATCGCAGTTTCGCGACGATTGGAGAGAGATTGTTTTACTCTTTGGTAAAGCTAAAAAAAATGTACTGAAAGTCAAAAATAACTATATCATCAAGGTCTCCTCAACGGCTTTACCAGAGCAGATTTCCTTGTTCTTGAAGTCATCCTTGAAAAATCTAAGTTCTTATCAAATGCGCTAAGACCGATACATTACAATCGAAGTGTAAATTCTAATACCTATTACCCACTCAAAAGCTGTCAGTAATGAGAACAGTACCGATCTACGCATAAATATCATACCACTGCATCTTCTCCATTCTTTTCATACTGTGAAAAACTAAATATCAGTTCATCAGTGATATTAATTTACCGCTGATTGTCTGCTCACAGCAAGCGATATATGCAATACCACTGTGCCATTCTAGAATTTGAAACTTCTCTTCTTTCAAGCTTCTTCCGTCTTATGGTCTAACAGAAGCTCAAATAAGACACCTTCTTTCGCAACATTGATTTCAGACCAGACCATCTTCTCATAAGATTTAAGCGAATTCCAAACCCGTATCGTTAAAATCGCTGCAAGTAAAGAAGCTAATGAGCAAATCTTCGACAAATGCTGGTACGACGCTGCTGAACAGCATTACCCGTGACGCTCTTCTTCTCAATCCCCTCTCTCTTACTTTCGTATCCATATATTACTGAATCTGCAGTTAAAATTCCAAAAATAATAATAATATGTGAGAGATACCCCAGATGCTATAATAACTATTCAGCTGAACCTTCTGAATTTATTCTACTAACAAATTAATCATGATCCTGCATTGAAAACTATTCGCAGTCTTCAAATGTCCCCCGCTCAAACGTATACCCACATATAGTCTCTAAATACAAAGTATTTTGAGGCAGGCTTTTTACTTAAATACTCGATGTCGGGATGGTATTCTTACGACGTTTTCTGAAGGCAGCTACGCTGTCTAAGCGTAGCCATAGCTGAGCACGAAGATAAGTGCTTTTGATTATTACCATGATGACACATTCCAAAAATATCCTTACAATACTAGAACCATCAATATCATTAGAACTTCATAATGCGAGATAATCAGGAATGTGATTTTAACTTGGACACTAATAACTATCGTCTGATTTTGTTCAAACAATATTCCTACTCTTTAGAATATCAGCAACTAGAAAAGTAACCTCAGTTAATGAGACAAACGACGATGAACCCATTTTAACAGTTCAAAATTGTAAAGTGTCTATTATAGTATGACTCGGCTACTAGGAAACTTTTTAAGACAAAAATTGGAGCGCTGAGTCTGTCACAAATACCTTTCATTAATTATGACAGTTGAACTTAGCCATATGTGAATGGTAAAACAATACTGCGACCACAAACGCTTAAAACTACCCTATACTAGAAGGATACAACTGTTACCTTTTCGAAAATACCATATATTTGTTCGGCTTGAACCATGTAATGAATGTTTGTTACATGCAACGATCTCTCATTCTTCCCACGTAGTCCCAGTGTTCTTATCCTTACGGACATATTGGTCGTCAAAAACACGAACTGTAAAATTCGCATATTAAAATGTCACGGGTGTGGTTGTTTGCTGAGCAAAAGAAAAAAAAAAAAGCAAAAAAAACAGGTGATAGAAAAATTCCACCTATTTATTGTTTGTGACTATTGGAGGTCAACATAACGACAACACCTACAAACTAAATGAAGCACAAAAGTCTAGTCACACCTCCAAGAAACAAATAAAAATGTGGTTAAAACTTAAACACATCTAATTACCTGTCAAGACTTAAAACGCCTGAGGAAAAAAAGTAACGAAAAAAAGTTATTAATTGACGCTCCGGGTTCTATACGCAGTTAAAAAAATTAAAGATTCACAAGATTTTTTTCTTCTTTCTTGTTCAGTGCTTCTAAGCACCGACGACATACAACAATTAGCGACAAGCGACCGCGGAACACATCCGCTTTGGCTGCCGTAAAAATGCCCTGAGGGACAGTTACGCCTGATCCAAATAGGCTGCGGTGCTATAGAAGGCTACCGTTGGCAAAGTTCGGGAAAGAGGAGCAGCGCGCTGTCGACAGCAGCTCTGCTGCTGTCAATTGTTCTACTGCACAATACGGCTGTAGTGTTGTCCATCTGTCATCCTTTACCGTCACCTGCACGAACTTTTTTTTTTTTTTTTTTTCGAAATAAAGGACTTCAAATCAGATTCAAAATT